AAAAAGATGGCTACTGCACATTTAGGCATGGGAGGACAAATTGCAGCTCCAGGGGAAGAAGGGAAACAACACAGGAAAAAAGCTACCGTATGTATTGTAGCAACACATGGAGCCTAAACTTGACAACAAAGCCAGGATTGTGCAGAGTGCTGGCTCCACTTCTTCATTCATATTTGAAGAATTTGTTTATTGGGGCTGTTAGGCACAGTTCCTAGCATCATTGAATTTAACAAGCATCTAAGTTTTTATTTTTTCAACTAAATAAACCTTTTAAATAACATGTACGGACATTCGTAACTAAAAATCACTTCAATTTCAGCAAAAGCAGATTTTTTTGTCACTTTTAGGGAGTTCTATGAATTTTAAATAAACATTATGCTCTTTCCAATAATAATTTAGGCCTATTCTTTAAACCATCATTTCACACTAGAGATTCAATTCATCAGCTGGTTGATAGTTTTAGCTGATATTAGCATTTTTATTTTCTTGTACCAGTATTGGCTAATAAGTACTATACATGAACTCGCTGATTCATCAGTGCATTTAGCAGCCATGTCTTGAGATCCCGTAAAGCTCATGCATTGCTGCTCCATCCATGCTATCCTTTGGTAATGTTTTGTTTGATCTATTTCAAATTGAGGCTTGTGTAACATTTATTATCATTGTGTGATTCTTTCCATGTAAATGGAGGAAGAAAAAGCAATATTGACTTTGGGTATCAGTTAGACTGATATCAAAATAATCAGCATCAGCCTTAAAAAAAACCTGTATCAGTCAATCTTTATTGACACAGATTATTAGCTCTATATTAAAGTAGCACTTCTGTGTATTTTACCAAATTAAAAACACCCCTCTCAGCAAGGCTAAATAGTATCCACCCCCCAGGTGGATATTATTTAGCCTTGTGATGACAATGACCATAAATCATCCAGGCATGAATCTGATCTTTGGTCTTTGGACCAGAGTCTTTGAAAAAGAAGCTGATTAGTCAGCCACTTCATTTGGATGGGATTCAATTGATCTCAGATAATAAAGTAAAAAATGTTGGTGCTATTTTTGATCAGGAACTGACATTTGAATCCCATATGAAAGAGGTTTCTAGAATTTCCTTTTATTATCTGCAGAATAATTAAACAAATTAGATATATCCTTTCCAGGGTTGAAGCTGAGAAACTAGTTCAAACATTTGTTATTTCAAGGCTGGACTAAGTCTTTTTCGACAGTAGGTTGACAGGAAAGGGGGTATGAGAGAGGGAGAGAGACATGCAACAAAGGACCACAGGTCAGATTTGAACCCAGGTCGGCCACATTGAGGACTAAGGCCTTCTTACGGGGGTCATGCGTGCTAATCACTCCGCCACCTGCACGCCCCTGTGGCCAGACTTCTGATGAAAATTAAAAAGAGAGACCCTATCTCTCCTGTCCTAGCTTCTTATCATTGGCTTCCTGTTAAATCCAGAATTTAAAATCCTCCTTCTCACATATAAAGCCTTAAATGGTCAAGCTCCATTTTATATTAGAGATATGATTGTTCCTTATGTTCCCAACAGAACCCTTCGCTCTCAATCTGCAGGTTTACTAGTGGTTCCTAGAATTTCTAAAAGTAGGATGGAAGGCAGATCTTTTAGTTATCAGGCTCCTCTCCTGTGGAACCAACTACTGGTTTTAGTCTGTGAGGCAGACACTCTGTCTATTTTTAAGGTTAGGCTTAAAACTTTCCTTTTTGAGAAAGCTTATAGTTAGAGTGACTCAGGTTATCCTGAGCTATCTCTAAAGTTATGCTGCTATAGGCTTAGACAGCTTGACAACATAGAGACCCCTTTTCATTTCTGCTTGATTCTATATCTATTCTCCCACTCTGTAGTATTTGTTAGTTCAATCTCTAATGTTATGCTCTTTTTGATAATTCTCATAGTAGCTTAATCTCATCTGTTCATGTTTGACAGTGACACCATCCTGGAGAGAATTATCAGCTGTGCTGCTATCATTAACGTCTTTGTTTGTGGATGTTGGAGCTTGGCCTGTTTTTTCTATGTCTGCTTCTGTCTCCTTGAACCCCAGTCAGCCTCGGCAGATGGCCGCTCACACTGAGCCTGGTTCTGCTGAAGGTTTCTTCCTGTTAAAAGGGAGTTTTTTTCTCTCCACTGTCGCTACAAGCATGCTTGGTGTGAGGAATTGCCTTCGAGTCAATGAGTCGATGTGATCAACTGGTATTCCTTAGATAGAAAACTTTGAACCAATCTGACTGTATGATCTTGTCAAATTTTCTGATCTGGTTGAATTGTCTCTGTAAAGTGCCTTGAGGTGACATATGTTTTGAATTGGCTCTATATGAATGAAACGAATTGAATTGAATCCTATATTAATCCCAAATAGTTTTTCTACTTCAGTGTGAACCTCCAACAGTGTTTAGTAACATTTGGAATGGCTAATGAAACCATAGAATCCAAAATCCACTTTAATGTAACCTGAATTAATCACAATAGCAGATTTTAATAGACCCAATAGGTTACTCAAAGCAGTGAAGAGACACGCTCCATAATGCTCATGCTTCAGGACTTCAGCTAAAATGATTCAGTTCAAAAATGACAACACAGACAAAGTGTTTTGTGAGATGTATTGCGTCAGGATTCAGCCAATAGTCCACACACGAGATAAATACTCCTACGAGCAGCTTCATACTGAAGCTCATTAACTCTTTCTCACCCCCATGTTTAGCATGTTTCATGAGCAAATAGAGTACCACGGGGCCCCAATATATCACCCCCATGAGTGCTTTTTCCTTCACTGTGCACATGCGTTTTTTTCCACGCGTGCCCAGCCCCCCTCCTCCTTGCATGTGGGCCTGTTTCTGTGCACTCATGTTAACTTTTGTCACTTTGAAAACATTACTCAACAGAGATAGCAACCTGCCTGCAATTGGCTATTTTTCAAGAAATCCCGCCTGAAAGGCGGTACTCTTCTTCCTAAAAGCAAAGCAACTTCAGGCTAAGTGCTTCTCTTCAAGAGTTGGAAGTTGCTAAGTAAAGTCATCATTAGATACAACATGGTCTGGATGACTACTGAATTCTGACTGGCTGTAGGGTGTCCATTAAATAGGTTTATAGTACAAACAGGTCCACATGTGAGGAGGAGGGAGGATAAGCGTTTGTGGAAATCAAACCACATGCGCACTGAAAAGGAACAAGAACTCATGGGGGTGATATATTGGGCGCCATGGTACTCTGTTTGCACATGTAACATGCTAAACATACGTGTGATGAGTAGTTTATGAGCGTCTGTATGAAGTAAAGCTGCTAATTTATTTATTGCATGTGTGGACTTTTGCTATACTGACGCAATAGAGGTTAATTCTGAATAAACACACCTCTCTTATGCTGCAGCTTCAGATCAGTGTGACACTGGCTAATTAATTAAACCTAGCCCTGCAGCAGAAAGCTATGAGATTTATTAACATCAGAACGTATTTTCTCTTTCAGCTTCCCAGGATCTAAATGTGGGAAATGACTCACAGGAGTAAGTGAGGCAGTCTGACAGTAAGGAAACACTTAAACCATCTGGCTGGGATCAGGATAGCAGCGAAGGTGACACGAGACACCGGGATATTTGCCAGATAATGACTGGCATCTGAGGCACCTTCTACAGCTGGACCCGCTGGTGTGAACATGACACTGACCGGCCATCAGTTCTGCCAGGTCTACAGAGTAACGCACGCAGACGTGGCGCCAGTTTAGAAAAAAAAAATGTGCTTGATGTGTCTTCGAATCAAATCTAAGTTTGGATGCAGAATATTTTGATGCTGATCCTCTAAACAAGCTTTAAAATCCAAGTGAAGAGCTGTAATTGTACATGAGCCTTAATATATCTGAACAACAGGCAATTTCCTTAACCATCATTATCCATATGAGAGCGTCTTTCCAACCTCCTCTTTCACTTAACCAACATCAGCCTCAGTCTCCATTACATGCAGGATGAAAGAGAGCTTCATAGAGAATAACACATGAAGAGAGGCCATTAATGGAGGGTTGCACAGGCTTCAGACCAGAGGAGGAAGGAGGATATGGTTTAATGGACGATTTCCGACTGAGCAGTGGGTTTGAAAAAGAAAGGGAAAAAAAGGAGATATTTCTCTGTCTCAGTCTCCTTTACTTCAGTTTTTTCAATATAACTGGCGGTCAACATCTGAGGAAAATGTACCGATTCAAATTTAATCTGAAATGTTATAAAGTCAGAGCAAGAAATAACATTTAGCACTCTGAAAGCCTGAAGATTAGACTTCACAGCCGGCATTTTGGCAAAAAATAAATCTGTTTGCGGAGGAAATGCCAAAGGCTAAATACATGTTGGATGAAATAAATGCTTTGAACAACATGGTCAAATCTCCAAGTCTTTGGTGAAGAAGAATCTAATAGTGATGTTTTTTTTTCTCCTCTTTTGATAAAACATCAGGATAATTCTGAATCTAGGAGTGACTGGACTATTAATCTATCGTTTTTTCATACTCTTTATGCCATTTCCCATAGATTTCCAATGCAGCATTTCCCATTCTTTCCTGCTGTCCATCATTTATTTCTCTCGCTCTAACCCCCTGCCCTGAGAGTGAAACCACACTGTGAAAGCAGAATCTTGTTTATCAACAACTCGGTTTGAAAAACCTCTCCTGTTGCATTATAAAGCTCTGGGACCGGAGAAGGAAACCCACGCCAGCTTCCAGCAATTGCACTCAAGGTCACCTCTGCTTTCCGAGCACGCACACACAAAAGACTCACATCGTTGTGTTACTGACATGCCCTTTTAAAACAGCAACAGAACACAACTGGTTTAAAGCTTGAGACAGTCTCACATCTCTCTTCACAGTGCTTGCAATGATTCAAAGCCGGGATCTATGGCACTACATTTGAGGAATGATGTATTATCATCTCTGCTCAGCACAAATAAATCGAGTACAAGAAGAGATGAGTCATAAACATCTTACTGTATTAATGTATAGTGTATCTTACCGTTGTGTGTGGCGTAGAGGGCTGCGAAGGTGACCACAAAGAAGGTGGTGGAGTATTTGCCGGCGTTGACCAGATGTGGGAAGGCCCTCTTGGTGTCGCGGTAACGCCTCAGGCATTGGATGAAACGAAGCCAGGCAGGCAGACACTGGATGATGGCACGCAGGCCGTACGAGTAGCTGTGGCAAATGTGCTCGTTGGTATCTAAGATAAAATTCAACAACATTACAGTTTCATTCTCCTTACAGATTATGTCCTAGTCACGTTCCTCTCAGCACAGGAACACTCTTCATTACGATGGTCTGACATTGACCTCTTCGCAGCAAAACATTTACAATCCATTACCTCTGTGTTAACTGGCAGAATGAAACCAGGGGGAGCACATTGGTGAAAAGGGCAGCAATAGGCATCAATTCTGTCATATTTTTTGTTAGAAACGCCTGAAGACCTTAGACCCATCGCATAAGGGTATTGCCTTAGTAGAGTATTAATAAGCCTTTAAATGTCCTACCTGTTGTGTAAAGGTGTAATTATATGTAATTAATAAAGTAGTGGATAATTCTGGAGCGGACAAAAAGCAGCTCCTCCAAAGTTACCATGGCCTTCCTGGCTGCTTCTCTAAATTTTGCTCTCTTTGCTTAAGCTGGCAATTTTTTATCTTTCAAGTTTTTTATATTGCATTGAACAGTGAATATATGAGGTTTACTTTAACTAAAGTTGATGGGGTGTAAATACTTTTCAAAACTGTAAATGATATTGTTTCAAAATGAGTATCTCAGAGTGAAATGCACACCAACAGGCACCCACTCTGAATTTATTCACATATCATGCTTTTAATTTAAAAAAGCTATCCTTTTTTTATTATATGAGCCCATTAAATATCAATTAACCAAAAGTTAATATTTTTCACATATATACATATTACCAGAGCTGTGATAAATTTTATTTCAAAACAAAATGTGAATAAAAATATTTAACTAAAAATATACAACAAAAACCCAGCAAAAGTTAAACTTAACCAAGTGCAAATGTTGAGAGGATTATCACTGACAGGTTTCAAAATAATATCTTAAATATGCTAGTTTATATAGCCTAGGGAGTCACCATGTGAGTTTTTCAACCAAAAAAGGAAGTTAGCGTTTAAAAAGGAAACCCATGCATATAGACGGACAACATGCAGACTCCAAAAAAAAAAGTCCTAGCCAGATTTCCGGCTTTTTAGATTTAGGTCAGTCTAGATCAACTCCTCACCTTTGGGTAGTAACCCCTTGCTGTTGCTCCACTGAAGCTCAAATATGTAGAAGCAGATGAGATACTCCAAATCCATGAGAACAAACACCAGAGAGTTGAGCTGATCTGCCAACCAGAAGTCTGCAAATTCCACACGATGAAACGGTGCAGTGAAAACACGAAACTGGAGGCAAACCAGAGAGGAATGACAGAAAGTAAGAAGAGGACATGCAAAGAACCTCTAAAATGGAAAATAGCAAGTGCATTTCAGAAAATGTGTTATATGACCTTTTGAAAGAATGAAAGCGTTAACTCAGTTAAAGCTGTTGCAACAGGAGGACAAAGTAAAGGAATAATTAGTGTGAAAAACTTTAGGAGGAAAATTAAGACAGGGAGAAGGTGCTGAATAATCTGAGAAACATAAAAGAATAAATCCTCCAGAGTAGCTTATCAGCCCTGAACAGGACGCTGTGATGAGTCACGCTTTGTGTCGGTGTGCATGTTTTATTTGTGTTACGAATCAGAGGAGAAATGCATTCACCAGCCAGCCATTGCGTCTAGGAGCATGTTATTTGGGATATGACTTTGGCAGGAGCTCCAGCTATTGACCACGTTTGTAAAATGATACAACCATCTTCGACTTTTTCCATTAACCCCAAAGGCCTCATCTGACATTCAGCTAGTGACTGTGCTCTGCACCCCCCCGTTTACAGCCACTGAGAAAAACCTCATATACCTTCAATGTACTCCAAATGTCAGAAAAAAAAATCTATGCTGTTCACACAAACATTTATCAGCTGCACATATTTTTCTTAAAATGCCAATCAAAGTTTGTATTGATCAGCAGGACTTGTTTCCACTCTGTGTGGATGCCTCAAGGCTAATACTGCAGTGCTTGTTCAATGAATACACACTACTGTATGCTTTTTTCTATTGTATCATTTTGTAAGTGGTTTCTGTTGGAGAATACGTAAGCCATTTTGCACAGTGTTACATTTTACTGAACAGTAAAGGGAAAGACCTATTAAAACGAAGAGAGATACAACATCACTCAGTGCTACCCTGCATGGAAATCATAAAAATCTGCTCTGAAAATCCCTTATGCAGTTGTGATGGTGCCAAATCAATCATGGCTGATTACAGCCTCATCACTGGGGGAGCGTATTGGGAACTGTGGGGCACAGTGAAGGAAAAGAGAAGAACACGGGGAGGGGGCCTGTAAGGAAAAGGAGGGGGTCTATATGGAGAAGGAGGAGGACGAGGGACAGAAGAGCTCAGGGCATCAGCATGTTGATAGATCTATGTCTGTAATGATTGCACAGTCACAGCCTCCATCTCCCCTGAGACACGCTTTGTTCTATTATTCCTCAACCCTTTGGCCTCTGCCTCACTCCAGCCGCCCCAAAAATCACAATCACACTCACACACACACACACACTCACACACACACACACACCACCCTCTGTCCTGCAGTGATGTAGCACAGCTGAGACAAAGAGCTGGGTTTAATAAACATTCAGCTTGAGATGATATCTGGATTGTTGCTGCATTCATTGAAAAGATAAAGACACAACACCCCTCACACCCTGTCAGTACATGTTTCAATTCCAGAAAACAACTACAGTAAAATAAACCAGTCTGGAAAAATGGACACAAGCTCCAGACAGATTAGATGATTCTTCAAGTCCAGAACCTGACAGAGTCTGAGATGAGCGATTTTTAAACAATTTTGGTAAACCTGCAAGATGATAACAAAACCATGCAATCTTCTCAGCTAAATTTGTGATATTTGCATTAAATGAAGCCCTACCTGTGGAGGATTTTTAATGCAAAACCATAAACACACAGCTTCCTTGGCTGACATAAAAACAAAATAAAAGAAATTTCTCAAGATACTAGACAAAAAAGGAGAACCTTAAAATATAGAAATATAAACATCATGGGAATAATATAAATAATAATTATAATAAAACATCATGTAATGGCAGAGTCTGAGTGATAAAAAAGTAAGTCCACCAAAAGCAACAGATTACATTTTAGAAATGCAATCAAGGAAACAGACCTTTTATTCAAGGAGCAGCACACTAAGCTAAAACATCTACTTGTCTCAGTATTCAACCATACTTTTCATCTCAAAATGTAAAAGCAAAAAACGTTTTGCACTTTTAGGTGCTGTAAAAATCCAGAGGTGTGCGGCGGATGAGGAGAGGGAGAATTACTGGCCTTGAAAACAATCTAGTGGTTTAAAAAAATACAATTGAAAATCCCTTTATTGTCTCACAATGGGCAAATTCTGGTAAAAAAAAAAAAAGGTCCCTGCAAGCTAGAGCCTTTAAAGATGAGTGAGCCAAGAGAACTCACATGTGTTTCTGTACAAAGATGATGTACAGCTTCCTAGTTGCATAATACAGTTTCAGGTTACTTCCCTGGATGCCATGGCACTACTACTGAGCCTCTGCGGCTCTATATTGATCCCAATGGCATGGCAGTTTCTAAAGAAGCACAGCTTAGACTTTGATATCGTGTGAATTCCGCCGTTTCTGACCTTGGCCTTCCTCCACAGAGCTTTATGCAGAAATGTTAAATCATTTCATAATATCAAATGGACTGGGAAGCTGGATGTTTGTCTCAGTGTCAAAAGTCTGACATAAGTGCAACCAGCAAGTGAAAACAGCTCACTGAATAGAATGTGCTCAACCTGAAGCAGTGAATTAAAGCCAGTTGTTTTGTTATGTTTTTGCAGAAGCATGAATTCAGTGCAGGACAGAGCAATGTATTTTGTTCGACAAAACATATGCAGCGTTATTCTACACAATCAGTCACTTATTAATCAGTTTATTGTAACTGGTTTCCATGTGATAAAGGCTGCTATGCAAGTGAAATCCTGCCACAGTTATGAACTTTTTTTTTTGCTTTGACTTTTAACAGTTTCTAGATGAAATCCACTGCAAAAAAACCCCCAAAAAACACTAGTACTACAAAAAAGAGGTGTTTAGAAGATGACCAACCAGCAGTTTGAGGAGCCAGAAGCGGGACTTGTAGTAGCAAGTTTTCAACGGGTTGATGAGGAAGAGCAACATGAAGCCATAAAGAATGAGAGGGTTGATCTGCATGGGGAGGTAGGTGTATTCTGAGTATAGACATGAGAGTATGCTGAGGCACCATAGCACGCCCAGGAACCCAGCAATCTGCAGGAGAGACAGAAGGAGTGGCATTAAAGGAAAGGTCCTATAACATTTCAATAATATTAACAGGATGTTCTAAATAATGCAAATAAGGAGTATGGATTGTATAATTCTGTTGTATTGACCTGCTTTCTAAACACATATTTCTGAACAGGATGTCTTTCTGGCTAAACATGAATAATTTCTGGAGAACATAGTAAAATATTGCTATCACTAATAAATTAATTTAAATTAAATTTCTGAAGATTCATCGCTTTCTTCTATTAACCGAGGTACTTCTATGCTTCTCAGACCTCAAACAGGTGTTGGTGTGACAGGTTGTTTCGTGGATCAATCTCAAAGATGAGGACATGGTTGACTCCATTCTGTCTCCATCCGTAGGTGTTGATTCCCAGCAGGAAGAGGAACTGGATCAACAGGAAGCCACCGCGATAGATCCGCACCAGAGGCCAAATGTTCTCATAGCGGATGAAAACAGCACCTGAGAGGACCAGGGTGGAGATTAAAACTTAAAGTGTTGCTTGTAAATAAAGGTTAAACTTACAGTAATGGTCCCCTTTTGTGAAAATGAGGGGGAAAAAAGCCTTAAAATAAGTCAGAAAATCCAACATTTTATTTCAGTTCATTTACAATTCTGTAATGGATCCCGAGGAGGCCGATAAAAATAGAAATACCGAACTACGGAATGTTTGAGAATTTGTGGAAAAAAACATGATTCAAAATATCACTCACCAGTGAGAACAAAGGCGGCACCCAGAATGATGAAGAAGCCACAGAAGAGACCCACTCGAAAGGTCGTCCAGGCCATAGCAGGCTGAGCCAGGCAGTACACAGGAAAATTAGGTTGATTCCAAAACAAACAAAAATTGCTCAGGTTCTGTTAAGATATATTCTGGATTCTGGATATAGAATGAAAAACATTCTAAGGCTGCTTTTTTCCCTAGTTGTAACACAACATGAATACAATACATACTTTTTAATGTGTATATAACTAATCAATGAGACAATAGCAATGAGGTTAAAAGGTCATTAAGTATTACATCAAATCCAAATCATATATTCTGTGTTGAACAGAACAAAGCCTTTATTAAAAAGGTATATGAGGCTGTAGGGGATGTTTTTTTCTTTGTCTTTTCTAATCTCCAGCCTTTGCTTTTACTCATAAAAACATTTTTACATTTCGTTAGTAAGGCTACGTAGAAATATTTCTCCATGTAGCTTATCTTACATAAAACAGCAAGAGCTGAGAAGCAAAGTAAACATGAAGTAAGCTGTCTGACCTGAGCTGCTCCCAGAGGAGGAACTCTCAACCTCTTCATGGCCCTCTGACGATCTCCTTCCTCCAGTTCTGTGGTGACCAGCGTCTAGTGACAGAAGAGTGTCATCAGTGCATAAAGGTTTTATCACGCTGAATGGTCTGATGTTTATTAAAAGGGTGAGCAGTCACCTCTGTCTCGGTGATGAGCTGGGTGATCTTCTTGCAGGTGTAAAAAGGAGCCACCTCCACGTGAGCCACACGCCAGTCGGCTCCACGACTCGTGTCCAGGATTTTGTCATGTTTTTTCAGGATCTTACGAAAACCTGTAAAATTCAGGTTCTGAGGATAAAAAAAAAAACAGACCAACATGTTATTATAAAAAAAAAACAAAAAAAACAAAAAAACAACCAGACATACTGCTGTAGGACACGTGGTGAAACAACTGCTATCATAAAATAGGTCTGTGTATGTGCTTAAGGAGAACCTGGTAGTTCTGGAGAAGGATTAAGCTGAGGTAGAACTCGCTGAAGGCTAGCTTCAGGTCCTTGATGTTGTGGTGCTTGCAGCGCTCCTCCTGCGACAGGTGGAACATTGTCTTGCGTTTGCGCAGGCTGGGCGGAGCGCTGTTCTCTCGCTGGGCGTCCAATGATGATTGCAGTTCATTTTGCAGTGTTGCGAAGCGTCTCTGGGCTTCAGCAAGCTTTTCTACAGAGAGAATGAGGGAAAAAACACTTCAAGTTTCAGTCAGGTTTTAAAAGGATGCATCACATATAGCACTCTATCAATGTTTAAGGGTAAAATGCACAGAAGATCTGATATATATCCCAGTCTACAGAAATTGCATTATTCAGAAGCCAAGGCCAGCAGAAGTTATTTAATTAAATCAGTTGTGTAACCCGCTTTTCTCATCAGGAAATAAAAATACACGTAAATCTTTGAACAACAATAGAGAAATTCTGAAAAAATCTGATACTGATCATTATGCAAACATCTCAGCTGTTTAAATTCTTAAAGTAGTTTTCTTCAAAAAGCTAGAAGAACAGGCAAAGTAAAAATGTTAATCCTAAACCCCTCTTCCCTCCTGTTACCTTCCAGGAAACATTAGCACATGAGCTGAGATGGCATTTCAAAGCTTATGATCCAGTGAGGAACCACTCTCTGGGTCAAAGATAGTTCACACTTTCTCAGAGGAGTGGTCAAGTTGCTTTCAAGCTCTATGACTATGTCCAAATGTTTTGTGCATCCTTTCACAAGCTTATCACAATGGTGTTCTCCAGTTCTCCAGACAAAAACAGAACTGAGTCATTTGGTGGGAAAGTTAATGTGATTTGTACCAAATTGTGCCAAAAATCTACCATCCCAGGCTGACATACTGAGATGTTGTTCAAAGCTTCTGTTGTGCTTTTCCCATATAGGAAATCACATTTTTGTAAAGAATTTATTTGTAAATTCTGGCGGAAAAAAGGCATTTGGTAAACTAAGATTTTAAGGGGTCATAGAATGCAAAATCGAGTTTAGATTGTCATAGATGAATAACAATAGTTCAGTGGGTGAAATGGATATACAGAGAAGTTCAAACCCCATTAAGACCTCCTTTTTCTGCAAATCTCACCATTCTAAACTTCCACCATAAAACAGGCGAATCATAACAAAGCGCTGAATTGATGTCAACTCGGGGATGTTGCCTTATTTGGTTCTGGCCTGTACTTTTGTTACGCCCCGAAATTTACATACAGACCAGCCCATTGGTTCACTGGCCCAAGAACATGAATAGAGGTAGATGTAAGCATGGGCGTAGGTTTGCATAGGGACCATAGGGACATGTCCCTACCAAAAATTTTGGACCTACCTACTTGTCCCTACCAAAAATTAGATGTAAATAACATGTTCAGCCATTTTATATAATAACAGGCCATTTTCAGCCCAACCAATGTTCCACACCCTGTTCAGAGACCTTAAGGACCAGCACCAAATACC